AAATAAAATTTTAAAGATTTGAATACATCAAAAAATAGTCAAATATATACAAATATATTTTTAAATATTTCTATTTTGTCAAGTATATATATAATTTTTGTAATATAATATTTGCTTAAATAAGAAAATGTTATTTATTCTAATTAAATTAAAGAATATTTAAATAATTTTTATTCATCCATAATTGTCTCTAAAATGAAAAGATATATTTTCAAATTAATTAGAAATTTAAAAATTATTTTATTTATTATGAAATTTGCTTAAGTTAATTAATTAATGTTATTTTATAAATTTCAAATAATTTTAAAAAAATAAAAAAATTATTTATTTGAAATTTAAAAAAATATATAATCTAATAAAAATATCATCTACCAATAGTGGAAAAATTTTCTTTATTTTTTGAAAACTTATATAAAATTTATTCCTAATTCTAATAGCACCCGTTAGAGTACGCTGATATATCATGTTGACCAATCAAAAAGGCAGACAATTTTGAGCCGGCGTCAAATCAGTCATGTTTATATATACATGTTTCTTTAGTTTGCAAGATGTAGATTTTGTTTATATTGTTGAACATGTACATTTAATCCTCTTAATCTCTTCGCCTATTAATGCAAAGTGTTCTTAAAAATTGTATATTGTCTTATACGCTTCAAGTACTTCAACAAATAGTGATAAGATATTAAATAACTCGTATAAAATATAATTAATATATTTTACATTGAATAAGGATATAAAAGTGTACAGTTATATTTTCTTTTGTTGTTGCATGTGTAGTAAAATATACATGAAATATTGAATAAACATAAAAAAATAAATGAAATTAAGTATCATAAAGTTATTGAAACATTAAATTAATTATCGTTGTAGAAATTAACTATAGAACAATAGTTAGTTATTTGAAATTATAAAATTTTTTAATAATATATATATATATACATAGTAAATGCAAGTGAATATATAATTGCAATAAGTAGAAACAAAGAAAAAAATATTTATTTTTATGAAACATAAATCTTTTTGCATATTTTATAAATCTATAAATCATATCTGATTTTTAAAATTTATTTATTTTATTACATATTTTGTTATACATAAATGTAATTTATAATTCTTTTAATGAAATTACTTCTTATATATTATTATACCAAATTTTTAAATAAATAGAGATTTTCTTTTTATAAAAAGAAATGATAATATTAATTATTACATATTAATGTGAAAGTATATAAAATGGCATCTTCTGAAATTGATGATTTATTGTCTGGGCCTTTAGTAACATGGGTAAGTTTCTTTTTTTCTAAAATTTTATGATTTATTTGTTTATACTGTAGACTGTAATGTTTTTTTAAATAATTATTAAATATGAAGTCAATTTTATGAATCTAATATAATAATATATTTTATTCAAGTTATTAATATCCAAATTACTAATTAAATATATTCTTTATATAATAGTTTGCTAGTTGCTTAGAGGATCCTAATTCATTAACTAGTTATGATGATTTAGTGGGTGGTGTATTATTACACAATGTATTTTTGCAAATGTAAGTATTTTAATCGTTTTAATTTATATATATCTATTTTTTAAAAAAATTTTTATATTTAAATATTTTAAAAAATTTTATATTTTATAGAGATCCAGAACCACTATATAATGAAGTTATACCTCCAGAAGGAAATCCATCAATTCGCACAAAAAATTTAAAAGTTATTGTAGATAATATGAAACAATTTTATGAAGAAGAATTAGGTCACTTACTTCTAAAGTTACCAGATACTATAAATTTAGGCAAAGAACCACAATTATATATTGCTGAAATGAAATTATTATTATTATTACTCCTTGGTTGTGCTGTTCAATGTCCTAATAAAGAAAAATTTATTACAAATATAAAAACATTAAATGTTGATACTCAGCTTGCAATAGTAGAATGTATTAAACAAGTATGTTTTCTAAATTTTTAATTTCTGTTATTCAATTATTTTTTTTTTTTATTTTTTTAAATTAAAATAATGATATTTTATTAGGTTACAGATCATCAAGATATAGTAATCACTCAAGATGCAATGGAGAATGTAAATATGGGATATTTATTTGCAGAAATAAAAAATATGTCTCAAGAATTAGATTTATATCGTCAGGTAATTATATCAATACTATTGTGTGTTACATTAATAAAATACAGAATATTTTATTTATTTATTGATTTAACAGAAATGGAGAGATACTATTATAAATGAAAGTGTTGAAAGAAATGATTCATCAATTAGTGTTGAAGCTGAAGAAATAAATAAAGTGCAACAATCTAATCCTGTTATTAAGTCAGAACGAGAAGAAAATCATCATTATGCAGTTGAATTGGCTGATTGGAAATCAAAAGTTAGAAAACAACGTCAAGAATTGTATGTATTATGATTTTTTAATGACAGCAATTTTGAAATTATATAATATTTTTAATTATTTTTATGTTTGATATATTCTTTCTTTTGTTAATTATTTATAGAGAAGAAAAAACAGAAGCATTGTTGGAATGTAAAGAAGAACTTGAATATCATAAAATGTTAGTAACTAAATTAAAGCAAGAGGTACGTTATTATTATTTTTTATATATATATAAAAAAATAAACTAAATGCTTTGATTATTCAATAAAATAAATAGTTAAATTTCAATATTATATTTTGCTCTTCATAAGAATGGAAAAAAATTATAAATAAATCTATAAATTCAGCATTTTTTTCTTTTTAAAATACGAATATTTTTTTGTTTTAAATAATATTATATAAATAATGTTATAAGAATATATAATACTTACTTTTTGAATTATTGAAAATGATCTCTTTCTGTAAATATATATTTATTTTAAAATTAATGTTTTGAAAACTATTAAAGATATTCTAAAGTTCTTAACTTATTATTTTGCATTAATATAAATATTTAATTTCTTTTAGTCAATTTTATTATCACCATGTCGCTGCCGTGTCGCAGCAATCGAATTCACATTTATCATATATCACAAACTATAGATAAAGACTAATTTATTATAATTCATATTATTTTCAATGTCAAGACATCTGTCAGAACATTGTTTACTTATAATAGAAAAAAATGATAATATTTATAATTCTCTATTTAACGTAAAATAATTCTCTTAACGTAAAATTTTAATTTAAACAAGAAATATTTATATTTTGAAAAGTAAGAGAGCTATGTTTATATAATTTTTTTTCATGAATAGCAAAATGCGATATTAAAGTCTAACCATTTATTTCATTAACATTTATTATTTATTTTTAATATATATTTAGTAAGTAATCTTTGGTAATAATATTACAAATCTATAATTGTAATATTTTCATTACTTTTTTAGAATCAAGAATTGATGCATGAAGCACGTACAGCAAAATCTTATAGAGATGAATTAGATGCTGTAATTGAAAGAGCAGATCGTGCTGATCGATTGGAATTAGAAGTAGTAAGATATAGAGAGAAACTTACAGATATAGAATTTTATAAAACACGTATAGAGGAATTACGTGAAGATAATAGGTATATTGTCATGTATTTTCTTTAATTTTTTACATAGAATTAAAATATATTTTTCTTTACATAAAATATTTTTTTATTTTAGAGTTTTGATGGATACTAGAGAAATGCTTGAAGATCAATTAAATTCATCGAGAAGAAGGGCGGATAAAGTATTGGAACTCGAATCTGAAATTATTAAATACAAACAATTATTGAATGATATGGCATTGGTATGTAAATCTATTAAATCTAAGTAAAAATTAAAATGCATTGGTAAATTTAATTTTTTAAACTTTTTTTGAACTTTTAAGGAACGTGCGGCTGATAAAGAAAAATATCAAGAATTAGTTGAAGAAAATACTCAATTGCATAAATTAACAAAAGCTGCTGCAAATGAAGCTGCCTTATCTAGTTCTATAAGTGATTCTGAAGAACCAGGTAATAAAAAAAAAATAATTTTTAATATATAATAATATTTTATTTTTCTATCATAAATATAATGTATATTTATATTTTATATAGCACATGCTGATAACAGATTATCTGAACAATTAACAAATAATGCACAAACACGAGCTCTAAAATTAGAATTGGAAAACCGTCGATTGGTTACTTTAATAGATTCTTTAAAAGAAAGTTCATTTCATGAAAATTCATCTCGTGTATTAGAATTAGAAAAAGAAAAAAAGAAATTATCTTTAAAAATCGAATCGTTAAATGATAATATTGAAAGATTAACTCAACAAAATTCAGACTTGGAATTAGTATGGAAACAAGCATTAGAGGAAAATAAAAAATTACAAAATTCATTAAAAAATCAGAGAGCATCGTCTGAAAAACAACAACAAGAATTTCAAGTATTTCATGAAAATTTTTTTTACATTATCTTAATATTTTTATGTTCAATGTTTTATTTTTTATATTTATTAATTTTTAGACTCAACATACAAAAATGATAGAATTGGAAAAAAATTATGACATAGCGGTGAAAGAAAAACAACGTGTTCAATCTTTATTAGAAAGCGTTCAAAGACGAGCGGATGATTTAGAACGTAGTTTAGAACTTGCGAATCAAAAAATTGAAGAATTAAAAATTATCGAAAATAATATAAAAGAAATTAATTCTAAATGTCTTGATCTTGAATCAAAACTTGTGGCAGTAGAAAAAGAAAAAGATGTAGCGCAACGCGATATTCATCGATATCGAGAAACGATAGAAGTATGAATTTTATAAAATATTATTATAAGAGTGATTAATTATTTTAAATTAATTATTTAATTTAATAGTTTTCTAATTTAATTAATTAATAAAAATAATTTAATTTATATTTTTATTATTTTAAATTATTTTATTTAAATTTAAAGTTATATTTTTAATTTTCATGTGATGAATTATAATGAATGAATTATTAAATTGAATTTTACTTAGCGAGATAAATTTCAGGATAAGGATGTTGCATTGGATAAAGCAACAAATACTATTGAAGTTTTAGAAAGAAAAATAACACAACTTGAACAGGAACTTCATGATTCTGTTACACAAATTTCAAGGTATAAAATATTTCAAATAATATGTACATGGTATGTGATTTATCTGGTAACGTATAAATATTTCGAAAAATATGGATGATATAAAAAAATGTTTTAGTTATAAGTTATGAGGTTTTAAGAAAAATATATTCGGATATTTATTTAATTTTGAAAGTTATGTTTAAATTTTTTAATGATTTTTTTTTTATCTTCTAGCATGATATTAAAATGTTTTCAAAAAAAAAAAAAAAAAAAAA